CAGCGCGCTGCACCGAGAAGCTTAGACGGCAGGCCTAAGGATCAACTTTAATGAGACCAAAGTTTTAACTATGCTACCGCAGGCTTGTGCTGGCGTCACAGTCTGCGACCAAACACTTGATACTGTGAGAAATTTAATGTACTTCTGGATCTGGACACAGAAATGGAAGTGGATAGGTCACACCTTGCGCAAATAAGACGGCAGTATTGCAAAGAAGGCCATAGAATGGAATCTGCTAATCCGAAGGAGCCAGGTCCCCTGGCGGACGGCATGAAACGTGACGAAGAACTGTGTCTCGCTTGGGATTAAAGGACGAAGAAGAAGACGATAAATACAAAATAAAAAAATAGTACTCCATTGCTCTTGGCACCCACTCATTAACACTCAAAATGGAGATCCATGGAACTTGTCTATATCGATAAAAAATATGTGAATTGTAAGCTTTATTAGAACTTAGTACACCCACTGTGAGAATCACTTCAGCTTCGCATATAAGAAACTGTATTACTTGCACTATGCTCGGTTGTCCACCCTGCGCTTGTCAAGAATTGTAAGTTTTTTATTTTATTTTTATTGTACATATTTAGTTGCAGTCCAACGTTTTTGACCGACTTCGATTGCGCGCGGCAGCAACTCATCAGTGGATTAAGCAACTAGTTAGAAATAACTCTATGCGAAGAAGATTCATTTCGACCCACTCACGAACTTGACGCCGCCGCTCTTGCTATGAATTCGTCACATTTTCAACTGCGCGTATATTTGTATAGTCTTTTATGCGCATGCGTAGAGGTATATCATAAAAACTTTGCGGTATATGTATGCTTGCATTTTTAATCGCATGCTGAGTTCTAATGACGCATTTTCATGTTTTCGTAATTTTGATTGCTTTTATGAATACACACAAATACATTACATATGTATGCGTACATTTATTACTGAATTTGCTTGGTTTTTGTTAACGCTCTTTTTGACATCTGCTTTTTTTATAAAGGAAAATAAATATAATTTAATTTAACAAAACAAAATGGGCATTTTCATCATTCTCAACATAAATTTATACGACAAGACTTTATGATGTTTTAGACAGTTGGGCTTTACAACACACGTATTTTAATGATTCTATTACATAACTAACCGTCAGTAAATCAAATTTATGGAATATTAAAATTTCTAACCGCAGACATAATATATTCTATGCTGTATTGTGCAACGATTTTCCGTCATCCTTTGTCAAATTTGGTTTGGAGACAAACCGGTTTCGGCGTTGTGACATCTTCAGTGCCCATGCTTTGTACAAAGTTTTGTCTTTTAAATTTATGCTTACGGCAAAGAAGCGATCTTCAAGAAAAAAAAATCTAATCATGTATTTGTCGGAAGCGAATTTGCGTCATCAACAACTAATTTACATGACTATAGAGCAAGTTTGGTGATTTAATCTAAATGTTAAATATTATTTATCGAAAGTAGATTGACTGTATATCCAAATGAAGGACTCAAGATGTCACGTACTCCTATTTAAAATCTTTGAGGCTCAACAGGAAACCGCATGACTAGAATACGACGATCAGTGGGAAAAACGGCGACACTTTTGTTTCAAGTAACTGCTTCACGGCTACAGTGCACTGCGCGCCGGGCAATTTTGCTCGATAGCCAAAAGTAAATTTCGGAAATTGGTATAGCGAAATCAGTTCTGCTGGCCCATTGTGCAGTGGCATTAGTCGACCCCACTTATTATCATGATTATACCATAACTCCAGGGGAGGCAAGGCTTTCCTTTCAGCAGGCTGGAACCTTTGGGCAATTTGCCTCACATGGAGGTACTGAATATGGCTTCTGATTCTTTTTTATCGGAAGTAAAGTTGCTTAGAAAGTTTGATGTCGCAATATGAGACTGCAACAAATCGCTTGTGCTATTGTAACTAAGTCTCGCATACTCCAGGATCTTTAACGGATCCATATAAATCAGAACTTTGTTCTGATTGCAGGAATAGTCACTGAGTCAGGTGACGTGAACCTTTTCTTCCTACATGGTCAGAAATATATAAGGCTATCAGGAATTTTTCAGAGAATTTTTCCTGAAGTTGTAAAAAAGTTGTGAATTCAGGAAAAATTTTCCACAAGAAAGTCTGCGTATCATTTGTGTGTGCTGCAATAAGATGTTCATCATTGCTTTAATGACAATTGCTAAATATTCAACGTTGCTGGATTCTACAGCAACATTTTACAAATGAAGGCAATAGGTCTCACCGCCGTTGGTAAGCATATTGAAAATATTTTGGAGGTGGTTAAGAACGATGGCAAGAATGCAGAAGCAGTCACTACAGAGTTGATTGACAAACCTCTCATTATAACAGCCGAAATACGAAAGTAGAATTAACACCCATCGGGTGTCAATGAAAATCAGTACTGGTGACCGTCTATAATAACACCGTATCTTGATTTACCAACAGCCTCTTTACAACTACGCTTTTCCAATGAAAATACTTCAGCTTTTTCGCTGTCTAGATTGCATCCATTGTATTCGATTAAATGTTCTAGGAAAAGGTACAAAAGAAACGAAGAATTTTCAACAGATCTATGATATAGATATGGGCAGTGAACTCATTTTTTTGTACAGCTTATGGAAGAGAAAGAACTTGAGCGAAGAAGTTTGGAAGGATGTTGAGTTTGTAGATCTATTTAAATAAGAGCAAATGAATTTCTACCAGCGATAAATAAGTGTATTTCTATTTTGAGTACTTGTCCATGCACAACAGTCACTGTGGAGCGTTGGTTTAGTACACCTCGTAGAGTAGAAACCTGGCTCAGAAGCACAACAGGAGAAGAAAGGCTTTCTGGGCTATGCCTCATGAGCCTCCATAGAAAACTCAGTACCGAAAACCGCGAAACGATTCGGGAGAAAGAGATCGAAAAGTTTGCTGAAAACAAACACAAAAAAATCAAGGAGCAAAATAAAATGTGAAAACATAAAAACTCGCCGTAAAAAATCAAAAATAGTTGTAAAAAAAAATTAGTGCGCCTGGGCCACACTACCTGCATTTTCTTAAGCTTAATAGCTCGACTTGTCTTCGTACTCGTATTCATCTCCGTCCTAATTTCCGTAAATGTATGCTTTTCGTAATCGCGTTCGCCCTCGCCCTCGTCTTTATAATTTCGCTTATTTAATGAAAAACCGCAAAAGTCGTCAGAAAAAAATATATATTATTAATCATATCAGTTTTCGTATAAACATTCGAGTTGGATTTTATATGCGTATTCGACTTGGTTTTCGTCCTCATATTGGTGGATTCGTATTCGACTTGGCATCCGTATCGTGATTGTATTCGTATTCGTATTCGAAGAAATAAATACAAAGGAATTTCTAAAATTATTAATGATTTCAATGCAAATATTTTTACCATTAAAAGCACTTTCTGGGGGTTATCGATTACTTGAAATCTAAACCTGCAATTTTTTTTACCAAAGATGGCCTATAGGGTGTAAAAACCTTGTTTATCCCCAAATCGCACCATAGCGGTCGTTTTAGGTATAAATAAATTGCCGATACGGCCTCGTCGTACCCGAGAACAACCAGAAGGGTATTTTTATGGTAAAAATATTTTCATTGAAATAAATTTTAATTGTTTTAAAGTCTCCTTTGGAAACACGAACTTCAAAAAAAAAGACAATAAAAAAAAGCTAGAATTCAGATATTCCCCAGAAAACATTCTACAGCGATTTGACTGAACAAACACATGCAATTTTTTTTTTCTTTTAAGTACTAACACCTTTTAGTTGCTTTGAGGTATTTCTCTTTTTCCATACCAACCCATTATTCGAGTGGCAATTAGCACAAACATCGCCCAGCCAAAAACATTGCTACAGCAACAAAGCACATACACACCATTATCATTATAGTATACCAGGTCAAACCAACGCAGTACGCATCACCACGAGACCATGCAACAATTTTGTAGTTTCGGCAATTCTGTAAGCATGATCAAATATTTAGCACCAAGCGAGTGAGTGACGGACAGCCAACCAGCCAACCATCCAACCATCCAGCCAGTCAGTCAAGAAGCCATGCGATTGCGTAGCTGATCCGGTCAGTGCCAGCAGCAGCAGCAGATGAGCCAGCGCCGAAAAAACAGCCCAAATTAGTTGCTGTTATTGCTGCTGCCATCGACGCGAAGTCGGTCGGTCCACAGAGAGCGTCAAGACCAGATATTCATTGCAATCTAGTTTCTGCTTAAAGTTGACAAAAACTCAATGTGGATTTACACGCGAATATGTACACAAAAAAAAAGAAGAGATTATGTGCGTGTAGGAACGTTTTTAGGCGCTTCCACACAGCTCAGCTATTGGATATTTGTATTGTATGCGATTATAAAAATCCACAATTATACACGCGATTTATACACTTATATATATATATGTATTTATGAATGTGGTTGTGGCCTTTGGTTTTTGGTGTTTTTTCGTGTGTGTGTGTGTGAAAAAACGGCCGAAAAAGACGTCATCAGCAACATTTGGCATAAAGTGATTTGTATTTCTTGATATAAGCAATTTTTAAATTTTTTTTTGATTTTTTTTTTTTTTTTGCAGCGGCAACAGTAACAACAACAACAACGATGGTAGCAGCAGCCACAGCGGCAGCGCGGCCAGTGATTATAGCAAAAGTACAAGTAACTTGATAATGCTTAACTTAACTGCTTGCTGAACCCGCTGAGCCCGCTGAGCCCGCTGAGCGTAGCATTTGTCAGCATTTGTGGTGGCAAATCTGGGTGTGTGTGTGTGTATGAGATTTTAGCAGATTGTAGCATCTTCTTCGCAGACTTATGTTTGCCACCAACATACCAACAACAAATGGCAGAAATTAACTTGCTGAGCAACCGGCTAGCAGGCCAGCAAATCAAGCGGCCAACCCGAAAGCCAATAACTGGCTAGCTAGCTAGCTAGTCAATCAAGCAGCATCCAGCACCAGCGCCAACACTGAATGGAACTCTCAAGCATTCCGATCTTCAATCGGTCAGAGTGTACTACCAGTTATCGCCCATGCGTTGACTTGCCGAAACATCTGCTCCGAGTATATATAGAAAATCTATAGGTTTTGATGGTTTAGTTGGTAACCCGCACTCAACCTAGAAGTGAACCAACAGAGATCGCTTAGTTAGTAGCTTCTTCAACGGCACTGTGGTTGTCCGTTCAACGTTTTCCTGCCTTAATTGGTTGTGTCGCATACACCGCCATCGATCGATCGATCGAATTCAATAGCAGCGTTGAATTCTGAATCGATATAACGAAACAATTAGCAACAAGCAAAGGATTACACACACACACACATAGAAATATTAAAGGATTACGCGCGTTCACGACCGGGAGTTGTGATTGAATTGTGCTCGAAATGGTAAAAGAAAAAAAAGAAATTGAATTTGAAACAAACAATTTTGTGGATTAAAAATAAAATGAATACAAATAAATGAAAATATAAAAAAAAATAAAATAAAAATAAAAGAAAAATAAAAAATTTTGAATTAAAAAATTTCAATTAAAAAAAGGTATAAAAACTTCAAAGAAATTAAATAAATTTGAACCAAATTATATTTCCAAAATTTAAATCGTCAGAACGAAAATAAAATAAAATGAAATAAATTAAAAGAACATAACATAAAATTAAATAACGCAATATAAAATAAAGTAAAATAAAATAAAATGAAAACAACAATTAAAAAAAAATAACAAATGAAATAAAAATTCGTCTGTAAAATATAAGTTTCTATGAATATTAAATAAAAACGTTAAAAATTTAAACCAAATTAAATATATGTACATAAATATTTTAAAAGGTAAAATAATTAAATGTAAAAAAGGAAAACAAATAATCTACATATAACACAAAAATATATATTTAAAAGCAAAAAATTTAAATCGACAAAATAAGTAGAATAAAATAAAAACTAAATAAAATAAAACAAAATAAAATAAAAAAATATATTAAAATAAAATTAAAAAAAAATGTAAAAATTTCAAGCAAAATAAGTATTTAAAAAATTTTGGCTTGAAAAATTTTATCGAGCAAAATAAATGAAATAAATTTTTTTTTATACAAAATGAAATTAAATAAAAAACTTTAAGGCATACAACAAAAAGATATAAAATCAATTGCAGAAAGTTTAAAGAAAGGACCTTCATTTCAAAGGACAAAACAAGAATGAAAGAAAAATATTTTCAGTGACTTTTCCTTCAGTGCTCATTTGAACTATAAAATGCCTATCAACAAATGAAGATGTAGTACATTAAAACGCAGTGACTTAAACAAACGAAAGTGATATGAATAAGCATTAAAGATAAGCAAACTCTTGTGCAAGCCAAATAAAGCCAATTGGCAAACGCAGTGTAAACTTTATGAAATGAAAAAAGAAAAAAAAAAACAAAAACGCAGTGGACATTTCAGTTAAATTTAAATATTTACTAAACGCTATTGCGCTGAAGAATGCAGCGCAGCAGTCGCTTGGCTAGAGACATTTGAAAAAAAATAAAAATAGAAAAAGCTTGACCGAAATCAAACAAAATAAAATTTAAACATAAAAATTCAGCATTTAAACAAGCCAGCGAATAAGCTGGCGAAGCAATGTAAATTGAATTATGTTGTAAATTGCGCAAAAATTGTAGTCAATTGCATAGCAATATGCATACATACACACACATATACATATGCATGTGCACATATCGCACCAACAAACTTACATACATAGGCGACAACGGCAGATGCTATGACTGCATAACAGACGATCCTATTGGTGGGTTGCTGATAGTTGCTGTAAATGCTTTAAATTGATTGTCAAAGATGATGCTAAAGTACTGCAGTGTAGCTACTTGCAGCAATAACTTCAGTTGAGTTGCTGCTGGCACTCAATGTACATATGTATGTACATATGTTTGAATGTATTTATGCAACATTCAATTGTGCTATTGCTGTGTTATGCGAAAGAATTTTTAAATTCACCCATTCTCTTGCGAGCGCACCAATGCAATGATGTGCCAGCTGAATGCTTTATTTATAATTTTTTATGATTTTCTATTTAAAATTATGGTTTTATTGAATTTTGATGGCAACGACGCTAGTGCTCCCACCACTATGTAGTTGCCGCTTGTAATGCATTGTCATTAAAAAAAAAGTACACAAAGAAGCTTGCTGCCAGCCAGCAGCAACGCCTTACTTTACCACATTACGAGTACACCACAACACACCGCACGACACCGCACGACACCCTTTCACACATCACACGTCAATTTTTGCATTGAGCGTTTAAAAAATCGCTCGTAATGGTCAGAGTCACGTTTGCCTTCATATTCGAAATATTGTTAGCACAAAAACGCAAGCACCAACAATAAATTGCTGCTCTATGGTGGCTACTGTTCAATAGACGCCAAGCAGCTATAAATACAAGCAGCAGCCAGCAGCCAGCAGCCAGCAGAGGGTAGCGAGCATCTTCAGCTTCAACTTAGTTGATCATCGCTTGGTAGTCATTAGTGTGGGTAATTTAAAGTATATTTTATGTTCGCATGTTCGATATTGCATTAGTCAATGGACAAATAAAGCGATATACATATGTTGTTCATATGTACATGCGACAAATGAAAAGATTTGCGCAGCTCATCGAGTTCGTTGCTTAAGTCTTTTGTTTGAATTGAAAATTTATACGCCTTTGCTTTGCTTTGCTTTGCCTGACTTGAGAGAAGTGCAGCCATTTTTTGTGTTGAGTTGAACTTTGGTATTAAGTATATGTTAGATAGCACTATGTCCATTTGTATAGATACATTTGAGTGGGAGCCAGCTGTACAAGAGATGGACACTTTTTGCTTTTCTTTCGCATGTATTTGTATTAAAAACTCCAAAAAAAATTAACATATTCAATAATTTGTTTTACAAGGTTTCCAAAAACTAAGATCAGTCGAAATATATGCCAATTTAATTTCCTATGACAGACAATGTTAGATTTTTTTCGCGAGTCCACATAGGTTTGATTTATACGCTGGAAAAAGGCATGTACAATATTTTTTTAGCCAGTTTGGAGACCTGAATTGATTTTATTAGGGCATGTAATATGGGGCTTGAACTTTGGGTAGGTACCATTTCGCAATCTCAAACCACCTAAACAAATTGCTTTTGTTCAAAACAGAAGCCGTCAAATGCGAAAAGCAGGAACCAAAAATAACCGTTATATATTAAGATTTTTATTTTAGGCTCATTGTAAAATAGTTATTTTTCGATTTTTATTTTTTCGATTAAGAATTTTTGTAAAACGCGGACTTTTTCCAGGTCAAATTTGGTCGGTATTTTGTGATTTTTATTTGTTTTTCAATATTTTTTAAACGTTCTAATTAAGATTGAGTTTTTAAAACCGATCTAAATCTTTTATGATTTAAAAATTTTAATTCCAAAAATAACGGCTATAATATGATCGAACAAATAAAAATCAAAAATTCCATCAAAAATGAATCGAAAAAATAAAAGTTCAAAAATAACGACTATTCTTGAACGAAAAAATAGAGGTC